AGCCACGGGGCCGGCCCAATGTATTTATTCTTGAGTAAACTTTAGTAGTTTATGCCTTTCAAGGAGTTTTTCCATTTCATCTTGAATTTATTGGTGTAAAGTATTTTATAATATTTCCTTATTATCCTTTTAATATCTGTAGAATCTACAGTGATGTCACCCTCTCATTCTTTTTTTTTTTTAAAGATTTTATTTATTTATTGATTTACCCCCAAAGCCCCAGTAGATAGTTGTATGTCATAGCTGCACATCCTTCCAGTTGCTGTATGTGGGACATGGCCTCAGCATGGCCGGAGAAGCGGTGCATCGGTGCGCGCCTGGGATCCGAACCCCGGGCCACCAGCAGCAGAGCACGCGCACTTAACCGCTAAGCCACAGGGCCGGCCCTCACCCTCTCATTCTTGATATTGATACTTTGTATCTTCTGTCATCTTTTCTTGTTTAATCTGGCTAAAGGTTTATCAATTTTATTGATCTCTAAGAACTGTCTTTTCATTTCACTGAGTTCTTGATTTTTGTTTTCCATTTTATTTATTTCTGCCTTGATCTTTATTATTTCCTTTCTTCTCCTTACTCTGTGATTAATTTGCTCTTCTTTCTCTAGTTTCTTAAGGTGGAAGCGAGGAAGCTGAGTACTGCCTTAGCAACATCCCACGTGTTGACGTGTTGCGTTTTCAATTTTAGTCAGTTCAAAATAGTTTCTAGTTTCCCTTTTGATTTCTTCTTGAAGAAATCCATACAATTACTTAGAAGTATGTTGTTTAGTTTCCAAATATTTGGAGATTTTTCATATCTGTTAATTTCTTTCTTTTTTTTTTTTTGGTGAGGAAGATTGTCCCTAAGCTAACATCTGTGCCAGTCTCTCTCTACTTTGTATGTGGGACACCATGAGAGCATGGCTTGACGAGCAGTGTGTACGTCCGTGCCCAGGATCTGAACCCGTGAACCCTGGGCCACCAAAGCGGAGCCCGTGAATTTAACCACTATGCCAATGGGCCGCCCCAGATCTGTTAATTTCAAATTTAATTCCATTGTGGTCAGAGAACATATATTGAATGACTAAAATCTTTTTAAATTTATTAAGACTTGTTTTATGGCCAATAAATTCTGGTAATAGAATTTATCTGGTCTGTTTTGGTAACTGTTATGTGTCTGCTTGAAAAAAATGTGTATTCTGCTGATTTTGGGTGGAATGTTCTAGAAATGTCAATTAGGTCAAGTAGGTTGATAGTGTTGATCAAGTCTTCTATATCTTTAGTGATTTTCTGTCTACTTGTTCTATCAGTTATTGAGAGAAGGTTATTAAAATCTCCAACTATAAATTGTGGATTTGTTTGTTTCTCCTTGCTATTCTTAATTTTTCCTCATATATTTTGAAGCTCCATTACCAATTTTTAGCTCTGTATAAATTTTTAGGTTATTTTTTTTTAATTGACCTTTCTATCATGGTGAAATAACTTCTTTTATCCTTGGTAATATTCTTCACTTTGACTTTGACTTTGTCTTACAGTAATATAGGCATTCCAGCTTTCCTTTGATTAGTGTTAGCATAGCATAATTTTTCCATCCTTTTAACTTGTTTGTATTTTTCTATTGAAGATGGTTCTCATCGATAGCATATGGTTGGCTTTTGTTTTTTTTATCCAGGGTGACAACTCTATCTTTTAATTAGAGTGTTTAGACCACTTACATTTAATGTAATTATTGATATGATTACATTTAAATCTGCTGTCTTGCTATTTGTTTTCTGTTTGTCCCATCTGTTCTTTGTTTCTTTTTTCCTCTTTTTCTTCCTGCTTTTCGGTTGAGTACATTTTATTATTTTATTTTATTTCCTTTGTTGGCTAATTAGTTATAATTTAGATTTTTTTTGTTTTAGTGGTTACATTATGGTTTATAGTACATCTTTAACTTTTCTATCTTCAAATTATATTATACAATTTCATGAATAGTATAAGAACCTGACAATAGCGTACTTCCATTTCTCCCCTCCTGGCCTTTGTGCTATTGTTTTCATATATTTGGCTTTATTTTTTGTTGTTGTTGTTGTTTAAACAATCAATTATCTTTTAAAGATATTTAAATAATAAGAAAAATATTATATATTTACCTATGTAGTTACCAATCCCAGTGTTCTTCATTCTTTTGTGTAGTTCCATATTTCCATCTGGCATCATTTTCCTTCAACTTAAAAATATTTCTTTTAGCATTTCTTATAGTGCAAGTCTACTAGTGATGAATTCTTTCAGCTTTTGTATGTCTTAGTCATTATTTTGCCTTTGTTTCTAAAAGATCTGGGTATAGAATTCTAGCTTGATAGTTGTTGGGTCTGCCTCCCTCCTTCACTACTTTAAAGATGTTGTTCCACTAAGTTCTGGTTTACACTGATTCCAATGAGAAATCTGCTGTCATTCTTATCTTTGTTCCTCTATATGTAGTGTGTGGTTTTTTCCCTCTGACTGCTTTTAAGATCTTCTTTTTATTGTTAGTTTTGAGCAGTTTGATTATGATATGCCTTGGTGTAATTTTGTCCATGTTTCTTGTGCTTGAAGTTCATTGACCTTCTTGGATTTGTGGGTTTATAGTGTTTACCAATTTGGAAAATTTTTGGCTATTATTTATTCAAATTTTGTGAAATTTCCTCTCCTTCATGGACTCTTTAGTACACGTATATTAGGCCACTTGAAGTTGTTGCACAACTCACTGATGCTGTGTTCATTTTTGTTGTTGTTTTGTTTTGTTTCTCTTTGTGTTTCATTTTGGATAGTTTTTATTGCTATGCCTGAATTTTCATTTATCTTTTCTTCTGCAGTGTCTAATCTGCCATTAATCCTATCGAGTATCTTTTTCATTTAGACGTTGTAGTTTTTAATCTCTAGAAGCTTAGTTTACATCCATTGTATATCTTCCATGCCTCTGCTTAACATTTTCAGTCTTTAGTCTGGGTTTTTTAACATATGAAATATATTTATAATAACTGTTCAAATGTCTTTGATAATTCTAACATCTGTGTAGATTATAGTTTTGATTGATTCCTTTTTCTCCTCAATATGGGTCATATTTTCCTGCTTCTTTGCATGCTTGATAATTTTTTGTTTGATTCCAGACATTGTGAATTTTGGTTTGTTGAGTGCTGTATATTTTTATATTTCTATAAATATACTTGAGCTTTGTTTTGGGTGAAGTTAAGTTACTCAAAACAATTTTATCCTTTTAGGCCTAGCTTTTAAGATTTGTTAGGTGAGACCACAAGCAGCCTGTGATCTAGAGCTCATTCACAACTACTGAAATAAGACCTTTCGGAGTACCCAGTGCCCCATGTATCATGAGGTTTTCCAGTCTGGCTTGTAGGAACAGGCACTATTTTTACCAACCCTATGTGATGTCCAGTTATTCGTATCACTAATCCTTTCATGTGGTTCTTTTCCTGGCCTCAAGTAATTCCTCATACAAAAGCACTGACCAGTACTTTGTTGAATACTCAAGAGATCCTTCTGCATACCTCCAGAGTTCTTTGTCTGTGCACCTCTTTTCTCTCTAGTACTCTGCTTTGTGAACTCTAGTCACTTTGGTTTTCCCAGACTCTCGCTCCATTTCCTCACTTAGGGAGTCCATCATTCTTCACCTGGGTTTCACCTCCCTGCACCATGACCTGGAAACTCAAAGCAGTAAGCTAGGGCAATCGTAGGGCTCACTTCGTTGATTTCCCATCTCTTGGGGATCACTGTCCTTCATTGCCTGAGGTCCAATTTCTTGAAAACTATTATTTCATATATTTTGCCTGTTTTTTTAATTGTTTCAGGTCCCTGTTACTCTGTCTTGGCCAGAAGCCAATAATATTCTTTAAATCTGGTTTGTTTTGATTCAGGGACCAATCAAAGATTAGGCATTACATGTCATGTCTTTGTTTCCTTTAGTCTAAAACATTTCCCTACTCTTCTTTTGGTCTTTCATGATGTTGGCAGTTTTGAAGAGTCTAAGACTGTTGTCTTGTAAATTGTCCCAAAATCTGGATTTGTCCGTTTCCTCATGATTAGGTTCAAAGTAAACATTTTGGGGAGGAATACTACATAGGCGATGTATCCTTCCTACTTTATCATTTCAGGTGGCCCAGAATGCTGAGTTTGATCACTTGATTAAGGTAGTATCTTCCATGTCTCTCCATTGTAGAGTTATTTTTCCCCTTGGTAATTAATAAGTAATCTGTGGGGTGATACTCTGGGATCAGTGAAGATCCTGTTCTCAAACAACTTTTCACCCAACTGTGCATCAGTGATAATCCTTGTCTCAATCGATTTTTACTTTGGTGGTTGCAAAATTACACTTTTGTAATTCTATCATTCCTTCTGCATTTATTAGCTGGCATTATTCTATAAAGCAGAGCTCCCATCCTTTTCTTTTTGAATATCATTGTGAACTCATGGGCTCTTCTTTAAATTATGTTATACCTTATTATCATCATTATTCTTTTGAATATTCAAGTTGTCCAGATTTGGCCAATGCGATCTCTGTTGTTGTTTAACCACACGATGTTTTCTATTCCCAGAGTAATTTCTAATATATATTTCTAATATATTTACCACTCACAACTAGGAATTGAGAAAGGAAATCCAGAAGTCGGGGACTTATTTAGACTCTTCTTAGAAGTCTACCCTTTTCTTGTGTACTCTCAACCCAAAGTGAGACTTTTGGATTGGGAGGAGATCATTCTGAATTAAACTACAGATCGATGTCACCCAATTCTAATCCTTATCGCCTTTATTCTAGGCATACCATACCCACTGCCATCCTTACCTTTCTTTTGGACACTTCCTTCCCCTCTCTATTTATTTACAATATTCAAGAACAGCAGTTGGCCAACTGGTTCCTACCCAATTTTCCAGGCCATATGCCCCAACAACTCCTTTTTGCAGAGCCCTGTGGTGGCCTTGGCCTGCCTCTTCTACCTGCTCAAGTAACTCCTTTACCGCTAATTTACTTCTCTGTGTTTCCATTTATAGGATCTTACCTAGCCGTATGGCCTGCTGCCTCTGCCAATTTAAAAATAATATTGAGGTGGTCTGCAAGACAGTCAAGCTACATTGTGACAGTGAATGTCTGACAAACACCACACGTTGTGGTGAGTCTGAATTGCTTGATGATAAATTTTTATTTTATTTATGTTTTAATTTTTATTTGTAATCAATGATGACAAATTTTTAAAATAATGATGTAATTGCACTATTTTTATTTGCTCATTCAGAGTTCAACTCCCTAAATCACTAGGAACTACTCCCTTGCTAAAAGTCAGATTCTCAGTTACATTATTAAGCTAATATACACAAACAAGAGACAGGAATGGAAGTGGGGAGGGAATTGACATTAATGGCCACATATTGTGTATGGTGCTCTCTGCTTGGTGCTTTACCCACAGATGAGAACTTACTCATATAGTGCATCGCAGTTTGTAAGCTGATTTTATATGCATTAGGTCTCAAGTGCCCTTTGTCTTATAGGACAAATGTAGATATATTTGTCTTTATTTTGTTTGCTTGTGCAATTTTATAAAATAGCACAGGTGATGCTGTTTTATAAAAGTTTTATTTGGAGTCTGAGAGTTTCTGGTTCCATAACCAGAAGCTACTACCCAGCCCTTCTAATGGATGGAAGGGCTCTTCCATTCGTAGACTGTCCAACTCTGAACTTGCTGTGAATCTCACACCTTTCTATCCAAAAAACACTCAGGTGCTTTGAAGTATTTTTCCATATGTTAGATTTATTGGCACTAACTTGATGACTTCCAGAATGTGCTTTCATGCCCAGATAGCTTGAATACAGGTCTCTATCAGTGATCTGGGGCACATCATAAACAATAACACTTTACTACTTATATAAAGACAGTGTTGCTTGTTTTTCAAAACAATTTTTTACCAATTACATTACTCCCTTCTCCCCCAGAGGTGGGCAGAACAGGCATTTTTAATTTCCTTTTATAGGTGAGGAAAAGCAAAATCAGAGGTCTTAAGTGCTGTGGCCTAGTACCCAGTTCTCCTGTCCCCAGTTTTGGGCTCTCCACAAGCACATGCTCCTCCTTTCTCATGACCTTTACCTCCTCCTCTGACCCTCACCACCACTGCCAAAAATACTTTTAATTCTGGAAAAGAAACCCAGCTGCACAATGGTACACTTGAACTTCACGCAGTCAGAAGCTTTGGATGGTTCCCCACGTAAAGCTGGAAATATTAGAAATGAAATGAAATGAAAGCAAAGTAGACATCTGACAAAAGTTCCTTTTTCCCTTCTGTATTTTAGGACCTCAAGTATGATTTCATTGATTTATTGAACATTCCACCTTGGCATACAATCTGGCAAATCTCTTAATCTACACCTCAGATCCCTGCCCGAATTTAAACAAAGAGCCAGAGTAGACGTAGTGTTTTTTTCTGTATAGAGCCTTCTGTTACGGGGGCTGGGATATATGGGAGGAGGGCCCAAGCAAAGGAATCTGTGAGTAGATGGAGATGGGCGTGTTCAGATGAGGACCTGTTAGCAGTGGGTGGTGTTGTGGTCATCTGTGATGGTAGCCAGAACGTGAGCACACTGAAGAGGTGGAGAGAGGAAGCCTCACGCTCCCTCTGCATCTGAGGCGAGACAGGATGGGGTATATGAACGTGAGGAGTCACAGTAGATCTGCAGGGAGTCTAGCTGAGCAGGGGAATATTTGTCTTTCTTCCAGCCTTGGCTTTTCTTGAGTACGGAGCATTTGGCCCTTGGGGACCAATGGCATAATCCTACATATAGTTACTATATTTCATGCTATGGAATGTTCTGAGTAGAGAGCCACTTTTTCAAAAGATATCTTTTTCTCCTTTTGTTGTTGCCAATCACAGGTTTAAATTTGGGTTTATTTTTCTCCTCTCTACATGGGACTCAAATGCTTGCTGATTCCTAATTTGTTTGACTGGGATATATGGCTGTGGACTGACAAAAAGCTGTCCCATCAGTCTTTCATTATAAAAAGCGGTCTCTTCTTTTTTGACAGATGAAGAAATATCTATAGGGAATGCAGAAGGATCGTTCATGAAGGTATTACAAGCCCGGAAGAAGAACACCAGCACTGAGCTGACTATTGAGCCAGAGAGAGAATCCTCAGACAGAAATGGCGTCAGTTTGTCAGCCTTCGTGAATGAGCAGCTAGACTTTAATGATGAAAGCGATGTTATCAGTGCACTAAATTACATATTGCCTTATTTCTCGGAGGGAAATCTAGAAGATGTAGAATCAACATTATTACCATTCATTAAGCTTCTTTTTTCAAATGTACAAGATGGAGATAAACAGGAGATGGGTCATTTGAAAAACAGCTCAAAGAAACTTTCTCTTAGTCATGAATCCAACAATTCGACTTACAAAAATAAATTGAGGAGACTCTATTTTCTGGAAAATTTGTTAGATGCAGAAATTCAAGAAAAAATTGATGAGGTTAAAAAGAGAGAAAAAATTGCCATGCTTATACATTCCAACCTTTTAGGTCCCAAATTTAAACGCCAGATCTTTCAAAAGAAATTGGAAATTGCCCAACCACAGGAAAACAGCCTAGCAAAGATTCAAAGTGTAGGGAAAAGGCTGCTGAGAGTGAACAGGGTCCTCAAGGGCCCAAAGGGCATACAGAAAAGACACTTCAAAGAAGTGGGAGATCAGAGCATCAAGAGGAAACAGAATTCCCAGCCATTTGTGGAGAACATTGCCAAAGAAAGAAGGCTCAGGAGGCCATCCCCAAGGGAGCTGGAACAGCCTCACATGGTAGGGAGGCCCAGGAAATTAGTGGGAAACTCCTTCAACACAGAGCCTTCATCCTTAAAGGAAGATAAGGCGGCAGTCTCTTCTTTTCTGAAACAATACTCCATGGGAAGCCCTTCTGACTCTGCTGCTCTAGAATCCCCATCTGAGGTTAAAAACAAATCAAAAGACTTAAGCTACACTATTTTTGTTTTAGAAGATGCAAATGCCAGAGTTAGAAATATGAAGGCTTCTAAACCAATAGCACATTCCAGAAAAAAATCCCTCTTTCATAAAACTGGCTCTCGTGTGGTCCACGGAACACCCAAGGCCAAAATGAGTCAAAAGTTCAGCAAGAAAGGTTCACTCAATAGACTGATGCTTGCAAAGAGGCCTCCGTTCTCTGCAGTGAGGAGCCTCATAAACTCCCCTCCACGAGAGGCTTTTTCATCTTCAGAACTGACTTCTCAGGAAAATCCTTTTCCAGAATCATCTTCTCTTACAGAACCTTCTGCAGAAAACACTACTGCAGAAAATGTTTTTGAAGAAAATAGTCCTGCAGAAAACACTACTGTGCCGGAAGAAACTGTCCCTGAAATCACTGCCAGGGAGAATGTTTCCACTGCAGATTCTGCTGTTACTACAGACAACTTTATGCCAACTGTTAAACAAACCAATGAAACACAGTGGGAATACCACAATGTGGGCACTGACTTACCCTCCAAGCCCAAGGGTTTCACTTTCCCATTGCTTTCATCCCCGGGTGATCAATTTGAAAGTCAGCTAAACCAGCAGCTTCGGTCCCTCATCCCCAATAATGACGTGAGAAGGCTCATTTCTCATGTCATCCGGACTTTGAAGATGGACTGCTCTGAGACCCATGTGCAACTGGCCTGTGCCAAGCTCATCTCCAGAACAGGCCTCCTGATGAAGCTTCTCAGTGAGCAGCAAGAAGTAAAGGTGTCCCAGGCAGACTGGGATACAGACCAATGGAAAACTGAGAACTACATCAATGAAAGCACAGAAGCCCAAAGTGAACAGAGAGAGCAGGAGTCCAGTGAGGTGAAGACAACTCCCGAAACGTGGGACCTGGACTTTTAGTCAGTTTAGGACATGCCCCTGAAGCACCCAAGCAGGAAGACTAGGGGCTCCTAGTCTGTGTCTTTTCTTGGCCATGTAACTCTGGCTAAGACAGTGACCTCCCACTTTGCTTATTCAGAGAATGGTGCCACTATTCCTAGAGTAGACAAGAAGAGGACTTAACACACAAGATAAATAAATTGTAGAAGAAAATGCTAATGATACGATTATGTAACACATTAGATTTGCTGTGTTCTTTAAGAACCTATAAGCTACTCACCAGAAAGAATGGGGTTTTAGAGCAGTTTAAGAACAGTCAGCTATTCTTTAGAATGGGTTTGAGAATAGTTAGCTTTCATCCTTTCCATCTCTTTGTTTAAAAAAAAATTGTTCTTAATTTTTTAAGCTCACGAAAGAAGTTCCAGGATATGGCTATAACAACAAAGTCATCTTGACGATATCTGTGATTGCAGTAGTGATGATTTTGATTATAATTTTCTGTCTCACTGAGGTAAGGACAACAGTTAATTCAGGTTTCCAGTATATATCTTGTCTTTATAATAGATTTGGAAGCTACAAACTGAAAATCAAAGCTGCTTTTCCACCCCCTACCACTTGATATTCCTCTTCAGTCATGAGGACTGAGATCTGCTTTGTTCTTTTATTGCAAAGTATATGCCAGGGATTTTTAAAGGAACCCCACTCCCAGGAGATCTCTGTGGAATGGCAAGATGATAAGCCATTAGACTGTTGAGAAATTAAGTTTAAGAAGGCCATAGCTGACATGATAGTAAAATGTCTTCAATTCCGAACTATGTTGACTTGATGTATTCACCAGTCACTCTCATCCTACTGCTGATTTCTTTCCTTGTTGGCTGAAATGACGAAAGATATATAATCTCCATCCTCCTGGAGCTATCAGTCACCCTGGGAGAAAGGACATGGCTAACAGATGGAAGTGTGATCTTGTCGATTCATTAGATTTACGTAGCAGCTTTCTTCTCCAGCATGTAAGGCATTGTGTAAATAGGTTCAGTGAAAACACGGCAGCTAAAACCCTGCATCAGGCTACTCTAAAGCATGTCTTATTTACATAGCCTATTCCTGGAGCTTGCCTATTTACCTTTTGTTCAGTTACATAATGGTTTATTACTTTTCCCAACAGGCGGGTGTTAACATTAAAAGAGTGATTTAGTAAGCTGACAGTCTTGACTCTACGCTACCAAACCAACCTAATTTACCTTATTTACCTTTGCTACTGTTATGGCAGGCCTCTATCCCAGCCAGAGCAGCCCCTGACCCTACTCTAGACACACCATGCCCGTTCCTACTTTTATCTGTGCCTTTGCCTATCTAAAATCCCCTTATTTCTCTCTGCCTGTGGAAGTACTGTGAATCTCTCAAAAGCCAACTCAAGTTCTTCTTCATAAAGCCTTCCCTGAATACTCTAGCCCTTCTGGTCCTAGTCCTTCTGTAAGATTTGTCACCATTTCTTAGGGGCCATAGTGAGGCATTCCTCTCCCCTGAGAACTTAAAAATATGGTAAACAATTTTTTAAAAGATGCCTCCCCAGAGAGAAACACCAAGGTCAGCACATCACAGAGCAGAGCAGAGATGTGTAAGGACCAGATGGCTTCCTGGTCTCAGACTTGAGTAAAACCTGACTGGATGCATTAACTGCTAAAGAGAAACATGTCCATCTTCGGGAGGGCTGGTCAGTAGTAGAAGCATAGAAAAGGTGAGGAAGAGACCATCGTGGACAGTGCACATCCTGGCGTTGCACAAAAGTAGAGATGGCACCTCAGGCAGCAGATATGGAGAGCCAGGCCCACTAGCCAAGCTGTGCCTGTCGGGGAGACGGATGATCCGGCTACCTCAGTCCTTCCCATTAAACGCTGGATTCAGCTGATTCCTTTTGTTCTAATTCTGTTCTCAACAAGTAGCCTTCTGATTGTGCTTTAGTATGTTACAGAGAGCTGTCTCCACAGAAGGTAATTACCTGATTGTGTAGACACAGATGCCCTGTCTGTGGAACAGATGTATTTCTCATTGTAAGTTAATCTGGCATTCTGATTTTTTATCAATCCTGTGATATTGATAAGGTGAGACTGCCCCAGTGTAAAGAAGTGAGTTCTCCCTTGGTGAGAACAGAGTCTGATTTCTGAGTCTAGGAGGTTGGGGAGTAACATGGGGTCAGCTTGCTGAGGCCTCTGGGAAGACAGTCATTGGCCATTGCCCAGACAGTACCCTCTGCATCTCCAGGTGCATCTCCAAAGGCATATGGCCTTTTGCTTTTTTGGAATTTCTATAAACTCCTGTACTGCTTTTAATTTTTATGTAAGTTTAACCTTGCATTTGTGTTTATTTATATGGTGTCGTTATTTCCTCTCCCCATTTAAATGATAAGCTTTTTGAGGACAGGGAGCATGCAGTGTTTTTCCTGTAGTAGACAATAATGGTATTCAAAGGAAGAGAGATGAGGCGTTATGTCAGTTCCACAATGAGGAATAATGCAACCTAATATTTATTTGAAGTAGCATATAGAGTTCAGCAATAGGCAGACCCATGTGTTCCTAAGACTTTTGAAATGTCACCTTTTAATATTCTAATCAGTGGAAGAAAATGAATAAGTGGTAATAGCACAGCTGCCTAACTGTTTGGGGGGAAATAACAGCAGATCCCTATTTCTCACCTTAAACAAACATATTTCTGTAAATATAAAAAAAAGAAGCCATAAAAGTATTAGAAGAAAATAGAAGCAATATTTTTATAATCTTGTGGCGAGAAAGAGCTTTCTGACCCTGATACCACAGACAGAAACCTTTGATGGATCTGACCACCTTGTCTGTGACACCATTAGCGAACTTAGCACTGACTTATGCCAAGCATAGGACAAAGAGTTTTCCATATATTTTCTGATTTAATCCCCACAACCCTGTGAGGACGATACTACCATCCCTCTTTCATAGATGAAGGAGATCAACTTAAGTGGCAAAACCAAGGCAGAACCCAGTTTCGCCTCACTGCAAAGCCTGTGCTCCTTATTCCACTGTTCTGTTTGGTCTCCTTAAAGACGAAAATATTTGAAACATTGAAATTCAATGAAAGCCACTGAAAGGATTAGTATATTTAATATAAAGAGGAGTTTATAAATCAAGAAGAAGAAGACAAACAGTCCAGGGGAGAAGGGGGCAAGGGCTATGAAGAGCAGGAGGTGTGTTGACAGTCTGACACTGCATCTGCCAGTCCTCTCTTCATGGCTTATGGGGGGGCGGTTGTTAGCAAGGCCTTTGTCACCTCACTGTAAAGAATATCTCTGATATTTTTATATTTTCTGATATAAAATATAAAAAGTCTTTGATATTTTCTTCCAGTACTTTTATAACATTTGTTGTTATGTATTTTTAAATTCATCTAGAATTTGTTTTTTAGTGTAGTTGAGGTATGGCATCTTTTTTCCCCTGCATATAGATCTAATTGTTTTAAAATCTTTCATTGAATGGTTCATTCTGTCTTCACTGATCTCGAAGACTGTCTTTCTCTGGACTCTATTCTATTGATCCAGTTATCTTTTCTGTACCAGTACCAGTATCACACTACTTAATTCCAGTTGCTTTATAACATATTTTGATACTTGATAGGGTAAGCTCCTGCTCTTTGATCTTCTTTTTCATACATTTCATAGCTATTCTTGCATATTTTCTCTACCAAATATCAGCTGGCCAGTTTTTGTTAAAAAACTATCTTGGAATTTGAATAGAATTGCATGGAATTTGTAGGTTAATTTGAGGAGACTTGACATCTTCACAACATCCTAGGAATGTGGTATCTCACACCGTGTATTCATTTCTTCTTAATGTCCTTCCGAAGATTTTTAATGTTTTCATCACATAGGTCTTATACGTTTTTTGTTAAGTTTATTCCTAGGTACTTTATGCATTTTTATTGATATCGTAAATGGGATCTTTCTTCTGTTTTTTAATTAGTTATTCATGATATATAGGAAAGCTATTGAGGTTTGTACGTTGATCTCTTGATTTTTGTATCTAGCCATCTTACTGAATTCTCATATTACTTCCAATAAAATTTTAGTTGATTCTCTTGGGCTTTTTAGGTTGTCCATCATTTCCTATGCAAATATGTTTTGTTTTTTCCTTTCCAATAGCTTCATTTTTCTTATTTCATTAATTAGGACTTCCTCAACAATGATGAATACTGGCAGTAATAATAGGCATCCTACTCTGTTCTTGACTTTAAAACAATGCTGCTGTTTAGGTTTCTGGTAGATACTCTTATTTTCTTTTCCTACTTCTAAGAGTTTTTATTAGGGATTATCTATTGAATCTTATCTAAAACAGCCAGTAAAATATATTGCCAGCTGTATGCAAGATCCTAAGTTAGGTACTGTGGAACATCGAAGGATTATTAAACAAGATAGACTTTCTGTCCTCAAAAAGGTATCTCACTAGGTAGATAAGACTTAGTAAGGAATGAATAAAGATTTGGAGATGGTCATTGTGATGGATAATCATGATCATCTTTTCTTCCAAAACAGATTTATTCTCATAGAACAGCACCAGAGGACAGTAAAGAAGGAAGCTCAAGCTCAAGGTAAATATTGGTCTGGCAGTTTCTAAAGTAGAATTTTAGAACTAGAGGAGAACTTAGAATTCATCTATTTCAATCTCCTCATTTTACAGTGAGGAAACCATGAAAGGCAGGAAGAATACTTATTTGCCCCAGTGCTTTGCTTGGATCCAGCAAAACTAGCTTCCCAGCCAAAGCTGAGTTAGAATGGGACTGACACGGATGAATCTGCTGTCTCTAGTCCTTTAAGGAAAGAGGGTGGTGGGGAAGAAGTTTTGGTTGTACCTGTTCCTGCTGGCAGTGGGCATCAGGCTGGGCCAGAGGCCTTCTCGAAGGCTCTGGGGAAGGGGTGGGGGAAGGCCCCATGGTCCGGGGGAAAGGGGCTAGTCTCCTTTAAGGTTGATGGAAGGTAGAATATATGAGTCCTTCCTGTAAAGTGGCAGGAAAACTTCCCTTCTCATCCTACTGGTTTTCAGGCCTCTGCTTTCTATTCCCTATATCCAAACCTCATAGAATTTTAACTGGGAGAGACCTTAGATAGTAGTTTGTCTCTTCGTTTTATAATAAGGAAATGAAGAAGGAGAAAGGGAAGATATCTTGCCCCGTGATCACAGTCCTGTGAATGTTAGAAAGAAGATGGCTCCTTTCCGGATGGGGATTTCTCCATTGATTGCACTGTACTCGGGCTGTGAGCTACATTTGATGTCATGACTCAGTATACACATACCATATAGACATAAGTAGTTTCTAAAACAAACTTATTATGCACTCTAATTTTTTCTCTTCTGTTTGTATTCAAAAAGAATATTTTGGCTTTAGTGCTAGTTGTGACCTTTAAACTGATTTTACGACTCTCTCACTCATCATTGGCAGCCTGCAGTGTGCAAGTCACTGAGCTAGATAACTTTGCTCATTGGACTCGGGCACTTACTTGGTGTGATTCAACTCATAGGATAAAGCAGCTAGGAAAATAGAAACACATTCTCCCCCACCCCCAGCAAGTGATGCATGTGAGACTAGGTCCAAAGGGGACTGATGGGCAATGCTTCTGGGAGTCAAGTGCTTCTGCCCAGTGTGGTTGTACAGTTTGTTCACTGCACAAGAGCATTTGGCCAAGGGCCAAGAAGGTGAGCGGGGCTGAAAATCCTGCCTATACTCCATGCCAATCCACATACAAAGATCTGCCCAGAGACATTTTGGAGCCATTTTGGACAGACATGGAGAACTTCTGGAAGCCAGGGTGTGTGGAATTATTTTCAAGATCCCAGGTCTGTGGTGATTTTGCTCGTTGTGTTTATGGACTGAGGTACCCATTTAGTCTTAATAAGAACAGAGGTGTATGTTGTGAGAGACATGGAAAATGGCATGAATCACTAATTGTCTGTCTGTGTTTTCCTCGAAGGGGCTTTTTTCGCTTTCTGCGTAGGAGATACTCAGCGGACAGTGAGAGTAAGGTAAATTTGAGGAGGATAAAGTACTGTGGCCGGAGAAAGCCGGAGAAATTCATAATCACTGTCCCTTTCTGTTTTCTAGGGGGGCTTTTTTTTCAGAAGGCGGCCACTTTGGCTTAGGGATATGTATAGACCCCTCAACGCCACACGCAAGAAAAACATGGCACAGAAACTACACGACAAGGATTCTTCCGATGAGGAAGAGATTTTCAACAAGGATGCAGGGTAAATGATTGGGGACAATTTAAAATTCTATCTAAAATTAGGAAATAATGAGAAGTTTAATTGTTCCTTTCAAGAGTAAAAGCCCTGGCACCGTTATTTTTATCACAGGGAGCTCGGCGAAGCCTCAGCAGAGAAGATTCCAACCACAGAGTCGGCGGCCGAGGAGCCGGATGAGGAAAGTGAGACAGCACGTGAGACCACGGAGTGACCTCCATCCGACCTCAGGTCAACTGTGAATGTTATTTTCTAGTATTGGCTTCTCAGCATTGCTTGGAAAATACTTATTTTTCTCATATTAAAATGTGTAAATTTATAACCAATTCTAGCCATGTGGTAAGGAATTAAAAAGTAAATAGTGGGGCTGGCCTGGGGGCATAGTGGTTAAGTTCAGGGGGCTCCGCTTCAGCGGCCTGGGGTTCGCAGGTTCAGATCCCTGGGCACAGGACCTATACCACTCATCAAGTCATGCTGTGGCAGCGACCCACATACAAAAAAATAGAGGAAGATTGGCACAGATGTTAGCTCAGGGCCAATCCTCCTCACCAAAAAAAAAAAAAAAAAAAAGTAAGTAGTTAAATATTTATATACAGATAACAAGGGCCATAGGCAAGAAAAGCAGAGCTAAAGCTGGAATCCCTCACGGTAGCCAGTACTTCCACAAGAGGCAGTATGGGCAAAGAAGGATGAATAGGGGCTTCTCTCTCTCATTTCCCCAATATAATCAGTCCCTGGGACCTGGAACACATATCATCCTCAAGGGGTGTAGATTGTTAAATCAAATAACAATTTATTCTGGTGCTGTCTCCCCTGGTTCACCAAGTACCAGTTATTTACAACATACTTGACCTCCTGCCCATAAAGGATCGTCTCCCTCTGGCCACTCTCCTAGGGTCTTTGCATTTGCCAGAATATTTGGATGACTGAGTCTACCTCCACTGTGAGGCCAAGGCCTGTCTTTTTTCCCAAGCTCTCAAACTCATGCACAAATGTGTGCCCTGTCTTGGTAGGAGGTTCTCTACCCTTACAAGCTAGTGGAAAATTCACATTGGGTTTTTTTTTTTTCTTTTAAAAAATCCCAACTCTTGGATAGCTATCAGGGAGGTGCTGGAAGGATAGGGTAAAGAAGAATGTGTGAGAGCAGTAATTGCCCAAGACTGCCCTCCCCAGGCCTTTATTTCAGAAAACATACTGGTGGGGCCACTTCTCCATGCACATGTACTGCCCTAGCCTCTCCTGACCCCGCTGAGGTCAGGTGTGTGCTGCTTGGCTCCCTGCAGCTCAGCCCAGCACCAAACCTACCCACTTCCTTCCTCATCCAGCACAGATCCATGGCTGCGTGATTGCAAGTGATAATGCAAGTGCTATCTGCAGAAGTTGCAAAGGCTCTTCCACTCCGTCTGCAAAGAAAGTCATTAATAAATCACATTTAGTAAGTCAGTGACAGTTAAATACATTAGTGAGTAAAAGAAATTCTGAATGAACAAGATTTGATAATCTACCTAAATGACCACAAATAGATGCTGGTAGCTTAGTAATATGAGATGAAGAATAGTGCCAAGCATGGGACAACCTCACAGAGTCCCCCGGAGGAGCAGTGAGACCGAGAAATAGCCCAGCAGGTTTGCTGGTTAGGGAGGGCTGCAAGCAAAGTGAGCAGCCCATCAGTTCCTCATCTGGTGTATTAGTTGCCTGATGCTGGGCACGAGGCCCTGTTCTCTTGATGCCTGCCCATGTTCCCTCCCAAAGTTTCTTACTGAGAATGAAAACAAGCGTTTTTCTCTATGTGGTGATGCCAGTGAGCCAACAAATGTTTACTGTGTTTAAAGCCCAAGACTAAATAATAATAATAAGAAGCAACAGCAGCAGCTAACATTTACTCTTTGCTTCCTTGGTGCCAAGCCCGGGGTTGGGCATTTTGCAGTCTTATTAGCCCAACAATCCAGGGAGGCATATTTTGTTATCCTCATTTGACAGATAAGAAAACAAGGCTGAAAGAATGCAGGCAATCTGCTCGAGTGCCTCAGGCTACACAGCCAAACCTGTGAGTTGGAGTTTTAACCTGGGGCTGTTAGACTCCAGAGCCTGCCAGCCATACACTGCCCTGCTGTAGGGGGTCAGGATACAGAGAAGTATAAGCCATGGCTGCCGTCAAAGAGTCAATCACAATAATGATAATATTGATAAGGAGGATGGCAGCTCCTGTTTACTGAGCACCTGCGGTGGGCCAGGTCCAGTACTTTAGTTACACTCTGAGGTCACAAGGGCAGAAACTCCCCATGCGGCTCAAACTCATAATAAGAGGGGGGCTGATTTTAATAAAAGAGGTGGACACAAAGACAGGGAGCTGACAAGAAACCAAGAGTAGAGATCCTTGTACTGCTGGGCTCCCCAAAGTGTGGACCAGGATTCCAGGCAGCTCCGGGTTCCTATTTTGGGATATTTCCATTATTTCAAATTTGGTACGTAAAGTGCGGCTTTAACAATGTTTTGTATATAACACTACCTCAAATTTGCACAATTCTTATTAGTCTCAAATGCTACCCTACCATATTTCTAAACTAAAATTCCCAAGAGTAAGATTCTGCTTTGCCCAGCTTGACCTCGATTGAGCAGTATTTTTGCCAGAGCCCAGAGTCTTCACCTGGCCAGCCTGTGGATGAGCTGGTTCATCCAGGTACGCACCCCTGGATGTAGCCTGGAAGGAGGAGGGGTGCCCAGGGTCAGGTGGTACAAAACATGGCTGCCTAGGGCTGCCTCTGTCTCCGTCTTACTGTTGGGCAAACTAGCTCAGAGCCCAGCTCCGAACGGAGATCTGAGTGATAGAAGGAGAAGGAGGGATACAAGGCCAACAGCTACTAAATGAATGAAAATTCTCACTGATTCCGATGTCAGAGAAATTAGCCATTTTTAAAAAGATAATGAAATAAGACAATGTATGATTAGGGCAAAAATGATACTGAAAAGAAATGTCATAGGGGTTCAGAGGAGGGAAGGTTGGCCAAGCTAGAGAGAGTCCATGAAAAAGATGAAACTTGAGCTAGGCCTGGATTATATGCCAGAAACTGTGCCTGGTGCTGGGGAAAGAGTTGACTGGGACAAAGTCCCTGCCCTAAGGGGCCCCTAAGACTGAAAGAGGGACAGACACCTGAGGATATACATAGAAGGCAGTGTGTTGGACATGGCAGTACCCATGTACCAAAAAGAAGTAGTTCAGCTCTCGATTGGCTGGAAAGGAGTAGATGTAAGGGATGGCTTGGAGGAGAGGAAGTGGAAAAAAGCCAAGTGGAAGTTTTTTAGGCTGACATGATGAAGGAAAGGCATTCTAGACAGAGGATGGTAGAAAGGCAGAGAAGCATGAAACTTCGGATGTGCTTGACCTGTGTGCAGTCTGGTATTCTGGAGCCTGCAGCACAAGGACGAAAAGGCAGAACATGAACATGAGGCCATGTAGGTAAGCAGGGAACCGCTCCCAAAGGGCCTAGTGAAGGCCCATGGACTTGACCAAACAGAACATGAACTACTAATGTTTTAAGCAGAGAAGAGACATGATCAGGCTTGAGTTTTAGAAAGAGTACTTTGATGGTGGCTTATAAATAGAGAAGCCAAGAGATCAACTTGGGGGTTTAGACTAAGTAGGAACAGGGAGAAAATGGGGCACCAGACGGGAGGTTTTGATGCAGCTGAAGAACGTGTGCAGTAGGTATACTTGAGTGAGAACTAGCAGGACAAGAGCTTATATTCAGAGAGTGGAAGATTGGACTTTTGAGATTTTTATGGTAATTCTAGATGTTGATAAGGTCCAAGTGTAACCTGGGAATGGGATCAGTGAAGTGTTGGGAATCTAGGAAGTGAGGAGCATCAAATCGGATAGTCATGGAGATTCATTTCCTTTCTGCTTTCAGTAGCTTAGCAGAGAGCTAGCTCAGCAGGTACCGGTGAGCTCAATGGGAAAAACAGACTCCCCCTTTCTCATGAGATCGTTTCTTTCATCAGTCAGTTTCCACTGTTAGTGGCATGGGTGTTCCCTGCCTCGCCATCCCTGTAAACGTGTGCATTCCGGGCAGGCTCCCTCTGTACAGGAGCTCTAGCCATGGGACACATGGTCCAGCTAAGTCTGGCCTAATTCCTTTCTCTGAAAGCTTGGGGGATTGAGTGCACTCTATTATTATTTTGCTTGTAAGTTTACCCAAAAAACAAAACTCTACTTTATATTTGTACATTTGGTACTACTGTCCTCTTTATGTGATGGGGTCAAGGAATTTTGTGCCCAGGAAAATCTATGGGTTGTTGGCATGGCAGGTATTACAGTAGAGGGGAAGACTTGGAGCCCAGGGCCAAAGTCCCCAACCATTACAAGGGCATGATTCGTTAATATACCAGCTCAGAGGGTCTCAAGTCTGTCTGGCTCAACCCTTGTATCAGACAGCGTATTGATTATCTGCTGCCATGTAGCAGATCACACCAAAATAGTGTCTTAAAACAACAATGAACATTTATTCCTCGCTATTTCTGTGAGTCAAGAATTCAGGAGTAGCTTGGGCAGTTCTGGCTCTGGGTCTGTCTCTCATGAGGTTCTCAGGATATCAGCCAGGGCTACAGTCATCTGAAGGCTTGACTGAGGCTGGAGGGCTCACTTCCAAGGTGGCTCACTCACGTACATGGCTGCCAAGGTGGTGCCAGTCATTAGGGGGAGGCCTCAGTTCCTCCCCATATGTGCCTGTTCACATGCTACTTGATTGAATATCCTTACAACATGACGGCTGGCTTCCTCCAGAGTGAGCAATCTAAGAGCGACAGAGACAGAAGTTATCCTTTTTATGACCTAACCTCAGAAGGCACATGGCATCACTTCTGCCACATAACATGCATAGTTAGAAGTCATTCATTAAATCCAGCTCACATTCAAGGGGAGGGGATTTAGACTCCTCTTTTGAAGAACGAAGACTCAAAGAATTTGCAGAATTTGCAGGTAGTTTTAAAACTACCACAGGCAGGAAAACAGAAACCACTCTACATATTTTGAGCAAAAAAAAAAAAGATTTTATGCAAGCAGTTGGTGCTTATCATTGGAGAGCCTAATGGTGGTGCAAGTTGGGGGTGGGGGGATCGCACCACTAGGTCTCAGGTTATTTACCACAGCTGCT